GATGAGCATGGTCGTACAAGGCCTTAAGCACAACCGTGCATGGGCTCGAAGCACCCTCGTACTTGTTGAAAGGGTCTAGGCTTGTTGACTGCTGCGAAGCTCTAATCTACCATCAATTTGGACCCAAAATACACCCAACATTCACTTGTGGCCTCTTTATACCAAACTGCACAATTAATATATAAATTAGTGTAAACCCAAATAAAATAAAGGTCAAATATGAATATATAGGCTATAAAATAGGGTCTAATTACATACTTATCACTGGGTAATGGTTGAAACTCAAGGAAAGAGATGAAGCTAGTGAGCTTGGAACACTTCGAGGAAGTGCATTAAGGCACGTGTATAAGTACTTACCAAGTCTCTCTCTATATATATGGTTTTGAATAGTTGAAGAAATCATGTGAAATCTTAAATTTGGCTAGTGCCTGTTTGCGTAATTAAGGAAGTGAAACTCTAAAAGTGTGCATGATTATTCAGAAGGCAAATGTGTGTGAAATTTCACTCCCCTGTGAAGGAAATCACAATGTTATTTTATAACTGCTGGTGATAAAGATAGGGATGACCTCGATGTCTAGGGGATTTCATGGAATTGGGTGACTTACCAATAGCCCTATGAGTGCCCTAGGCCCTTGAACTCTGGCTGGGAGTCTCCATTTGATGCTCCTTTATCCTAACCTTCTCCTAAAGCTTATATTGTTAGTCGAGCTAGATCGGTCAGTAGAGGTTCAAGTCCCCACCATACATGTAACTGACTATTGAAACTCCCAACAACTTCTGAACAATAGGATTGTTATGGATCCAAAGTCACATAAACATATAAATGAAATTTTTGCCAAACCAAGAGTTATTATTTGCATGAATCATGCATCATGTAATTAAACTTGTGTTTATTAGATTGTAATAGTTACCATTGTTTTCATGTGATGTATGCTCGTACTTACTTTGTTTTTTTTCTTTTTTGAATAATTATCTACTTCAAAATATATCTCACTCCTTCTTTCCTAGTTGCAATGTATTGTGGTGTTGGATATTTTCTTTTAGTTGTTGTAGACTTTGAGGATGACCCTTCCCCGTCTTTTTCTCCACATTGAGCTAGAATTTGAAGACAACCATATAAACACTGATGAGATGGAGGAGGACCCTTCTAAGGAGTTCTGACTGTCATTTAGTTGTTTCTTTTATTGTTCTCTACTAAATGACTCCACTTGATGTATGGTGGACAATTAGGTACTTAAAGTTTTATTTTGGAAACTTAAGTATAATGTACTTTGTTTAGGCACTCTGATGGTTAAGGATTTCTTATTTATGACTCTTGGATAATTTGTGATTACTTTTAACAATTATGAGATTTATTTATATGACCAGCTTTATGTTATCAGTTATCTTCTGATTTTAATTTAGATGGAATTAAATAGATAGGAAATCAGTTCTTCAATGCACGCGGAAAAAGAATATGAACTCTTTGGGTTCGTGCTTGCACATTGAGTGTACCCTACTCCTGAGAGAGTTCTAGTTGAAGCGATAAATCACATGTTGTATCTCATATTATTAGTAATTGGCTCGTGAAGAGGTGAAAAATATTGAAGTCCACTTGCATGGTTACGCCAATACATGGTATGGTTATATTATTTAAGTGATACTTACTAATATCATGTTTTTCTAAAGGTTTCAGCAATGAGTAAATGAAGAAAATGGAATTTCATGAGTAATTATTACTAATAGGAGAATGAAATGTATCTTTAAAAACTATTGTCTATCAAATGCATGAAGAATCACGTTCCATGTCGTGACCATGTGTCACTTAAAGTATGTAGTAAATAACAAATATCTTACTACTAATAGTGGTATCCATAAACCAGATTGAGTAATCCTAGGTACTCATGTTATTAAAAAAAAATTCATATTTGGTCCAAAACTCTTAATAGTAATCATTATATATTACATATCAAGTTATCCAAAGTGATGTTATCCTTCCCAACACTTAGAGAACCAACAAAATTCTCATATGATGTAAGTAGCAACACCAAGAGTTCATCGCAACATCTTCATCATCAATCTTGATTTCAATGTTATGTATATCAATTAGGATAGAGTTCAACTCATCCAAATGATCTTTCAAAGACAATTCTTCCTTCATGCGAAGCCCAAACGATATTCCCTACAACAACAACTTGTTGCATATTGGTTTAGTCATATAAAGGTTTTCCAACTTCAACCAAAGACTTGTCTCAATTTCTTCTTCAACCACTTCATACATCACCTCATCTAACAAAGATAGTAATATCAATGAACGTACCTCTTCTCTTATACTGCAAGCTCATCATTTACACCATTCTTGGTTTGACCTAAGAGAAGTGCCCATAACCTTTGGTTCTTCAACAAAGCTCATATTTTGAGGCTCTATAGACTAAAATTGTTCTTGTCATTGAATTTCTCGATCTTTACATTCAAAGAGATATTTTTCAAAGAAAAGTTACAATAAAGGTTGTTCACAACATAATCTTCCATACTCAAATATTACCTTCTTGCACTTCTTAACCTCCTCAAAATTCTGCTTCTTCTTTATTCTTTATCAAAACCCACTAAAAGCCCCAAAATTTTGGTAATTCTTGATATCAATTGTCGATGGTAGAAGATATGAAACACCTAAAACAAAGTAAAACACAGAAAATAAGATGAAAAACAAATGTAGAATAATGATAAGTAAAATCAAAGATAGAAAGATAGAATTCAAACAAATTTACATGGTTTACCTAAGATAGGCTACATCTATGAGCAGTATCAAGATCTTCACTATGAAAAATTGAGCATACAAAGATGATCATCCACTAAAGCAATTGCAAACTCTTGTGCAATGTGAAAGAAGAAATAACCTTCTCTTAAACTGAAGAAAATTCTCTCCCTTTTTTTATTTTTACATCACATTATATATATATATATATATATATATATATATATATATAAAATTAACTTGTTATGAATTGACTCTATATAAACTAAGATATGATAAAAGCAATTATAATCAGAAAGTTTAAAAGCAAAAGATTCAGGCAAAAAATGTATGCCCAAACTAGCAGAAACCAAGTACAAGAAGATTCAGAGCATAACCTCATAGTTCCTTCCCTAATACATACGACATAAAATTTCATGCAAAATAGAAATTAAAATGAAGAAAATAGAATTCTAAAAAATATTTTTTACCCTAGAATTTGATTCTTGTTTTGAAATAGAAATATTTCACAAAACATTAATAGAATATGATTATTGGAGATCCTTCGTGAAATAATCCTATTCTTAGTTTGTTATGTTTATTCCTATTTTAAAAATTACATTTCTTAAAAAAGATTTTTTTTCTTTCTATTCTTAGTTTTTTTTATTTTATTTTATAATGAAATATATGTTATATAATACTATATATATATATATAGTTTAATTAAAAATTATATACATATATAAAAGATATTTTATTACATATTATTTTCTTTTATAGAATACAGTTGGTAGAAGGACTAAATTCTTATATTATGATAATGTTAAATATTAAAGTTTAATTAAATCTGTTTAAGAACTTATTCTAAAAAATATACTAGTTTTATAGAAACTTAAAACATAATTAAACATAAATATAATAATAATTTTACTTTTATTTAAGAATCATGTCACAAAACTTTTTAATATATTATTATATTTTAACGTCGTTCTTAATATTAGACATCACTCTTAGGAGTTTGTGTCAAATATGGAAAAAGCCAACAAAATAAAATAAATTCAAAAATATAAATATAACTTGTGTTTTTAATTTTTAACTTTAATACATAATACATTTATTTTAAAATTAAAATATAAAAGTGATATATATTACATACAATTATTTTTTAAAAAAAATTAAAGACATAAGTCATATATGACACATACAACTTTTCTTTTTTATTTTTTTAAAATGTGTAAATTGTATGTGCCATATATAACTTACTAATATTTTTTAAAAAAATATTACATATAAATCATACTTAAGAATGCACCTTAAACTAATTGTGTAAATAATTTAAAATTGACACCGAACATGTAACTTTTAAATTCATATTGCATCATTTATATATATATATATATATATATATATATATATATATATATATATAAGTCTTTCTACTTTATTGGCTAATTAACTTATTTATGAATTTAGATAAGCAAAAGTTATATTACCCATTTTTATGGACTAAAACTCAATTTCCTATGTATTTTATTGGCTAATTAACTTATCTATGAATTTAGATAAGCAAACTTATATTATCAATTTTTATGGTCTATAACTCAATTCCCTATGTCTAATTCAAATGGATTTTTTGAAATTTAATTAATTGTTGGCAAGACCATTGAAAACCATTATGATAAAAAAAAAAAATGAGTATGACCCCATATTTTACGAATCCATTTCATTTTTACTTGAAAACAAATATTATTTTACACTTAATTTTTGGTATGAAATAGGTAAAGAGAAGGAAAAATGTAGGAAGAAAATAAATTATATAAAAAATAAGTGTGGATATATATATATATATATATATATATATATATATTATTTTTGCCTAAACTATACATACATTTTAGAAATAATGAATGATCACTCCCGGTTTTGTAAATTTATAATATTAAAAACATAAAAATTGTTATTTTTTAAATAAAAAAATTACAATAATTTTATGCTTAAAAATCAGGTATAAGAATTGAGTTAACTAAATCATAAAGCATATTATTGTAAAGTGAAATAAAGTGCAATAAATAAATTTAAAATAATAGTAGTAGTTAATTTATGATAATAAAAGGAACGTGTGGTCTACAAGACTACAACAAACACAAGATGAAACGAACCAACCTACCACCCATTCATCTTGACACCCGTATGAATATTTGGAGGCTAAATTTCAGAATTCTTGAAGGCAAAGAGAAAGAGGAAAGGAGTGGAATTTTGGATAAGTTATTGATTTAGTGTTGGAACAGTGAAACTTGAAAGTGGGAATTGATGGTGGGTCTGAGCTTGGTGGCGCAGCCAAGTCCTCCCCAACGCCTATCATTGCGCGGCGGTGGAAGAGCAGCAAAGAGTGTGATTAGGATTCGTTGTGGCATAGCTGAGCCGTCCGGTGAACCTGCTCCTTTGGGACAAAAGACGCGTTACAATGATGGCATTTTCGAGAAGGCCTTCATGACACTTTTCGCGCGTAAGATGGAAAAGTTTGCGGTTCCATCAGAAAATAAAGCTAGCGAGAAGAAGGGTTGGTGGGATTTGGGGTATGACTATGAGAGTTTCGTTGATGTATCAAAGAGGGTAATGCAGCGTAGGACTCGTATCCAGCAGCAGCAAGTGGTGCGAGAGGTTCTCCTCTCCATGCTTCCTCCTGGTGCGCCTGCACAGGTGGATCATTTTTTTTTTCTTTCACATACTCTCTCTCTCTCTCTTTCATTCTGGTCATTAGAATATAGAAATCTTGATTATAGAACAATTTTTTATGATGATGAATAACAGTGAGAGACTGGGAAATACGGGGATGTTTGAGTACCTGCTGTCTATACGCAATTGAATCTTTTAGGCTCTGTGTTCATCTGTTTTAAAATATTCTATTGCAGTTCAGGAAATTATTTCCACCTACAAAATGGGCTGCAGAGTTTAATGCTGCATTGACAGTGCCCTTCTTCCACTGGCTAGTTGGCCCATCCGAGGTAATTTTGTTACTGCATCATATTCGTCTGTTTAATTTACCTTGTTATGTCCCAATTTAAAGTTGTTTTTTTCCTCATATGGGCTTCGGATTACCAAAGGAAATTTAAGTCATTTTCAACTCTCATACATGAAGTTATTTTGTGGCACAGCCCCTGAAGTTTGGGTTAAAATGAAAGTTGTTAAATTCTGTAAGTTCTAACATCTTATATTGCTTTGGAAGTGAATTAAGCCCGGATGTTAAGCAACTTAACCTTCTTTTTCATTGTTACTCAAAATAGGATTATATGTTATAAAATAAACTTCATGTATGGAAATCGAAAATGGCTGAAATATTAAAAGGGTTATCTAGAATTTATCCTCTATGTTCTTTTATATTATCTGTTATGTTATTTGGTGCTGTCATTGATATTTGGAAACTTGAAATGCACTAGGTTGTGGAAGTAGAGGTAAATGGAGTGAAGCAAAAAAGTGGCGTGCATATAAAAAAGTGCAGGTAGATTTCAAGTCATCTGAAATTCCATTCAAACAAGTAGATATTAGAGAATTGGATTCATCTTATATGAATGGAGTAATCAATTAATGCTGGGAGGCCTGAAAAAGGTCAATAAGCAGCTATTATTTTTGAAAAATACAAAAAAATTGCTTTATATAAGGCCCTTATAACAAGTTTGGCCTTGCTTTTTACTCTTTATAATTACTCTTGCGAAGGTACCTGGAGAATAGTGGCTGTGTTGGAATGTGTGTCAATATGTGCAAGATTCCTACTCAAGATTTTTTCACTAATGAATTTGGACTTCCATTAACAATGACTCCTAGTATGTCTTCTTGCCTTTACTGCCCAAAAATTGTTAAGCTCCACATTCTTTAAAATGATGACATATATATATGACTCACCAAAATTCTTATTGGATATTTTTTCCCGTTCAAAATTAAGAGACCTCATCTTAAACTTCTGTTTACACCTATCTGAATTTAATTTCAGATTTTGAAGACATGAGTTGTGACATGGTGTATGGCCAATCCCCACCTGCATTTGAAGAGGACCCTGTTTCCAAACAACCATGCTATGCTCAGATATGTAAGTAGGACACCCTCTGGTGCTCATTGGACCCAAAGCTTTTCATATTCTAACATGGTAATAACTTGCAGGCTCTATGTCGAATCCAAGCTCTAGTTTGTGTCCTAAACTACAGGCATGACCAGGGAATCCAAGCCTTGTTAGCTTATTACTTTTTCTTCTTTTCTATAGCCATTGTACTCCCACAAATGAGAGGACCTTGTCCACAAAGACTGCATTGTACATTTGTAATTATAGTCAAATGTTAGTTCCATATCACTATTGCACCTGATCCTATAATTAAACATCCATGTTGCAAAATGTTTCTTTTGTACTAAAATTTAGGATTATTTAAGAGAAAACTACGAATAAGGAGAGAAGAAACTGGTTATGGACTATTTGGTTTTATTTTCACTTTTCTTTTAAAAATTATTTTCAAAATAATTACTTAAGAATTTAGTTCTTAAGACCAAATTTACCCAAAGCTATATTTGGTTGGTTGATTATTTCGAAACGCACTACCAAATTTATATGTCAAAACCCCATTTCTAACTCCCAGTCAATGTTTCATGACTGCACGAAGTGTTGAAGAGAAATTAAGGTGACATACTTAAAAAAATTATTTATTTACACAATTGTTACCGGTAAAGCTACACAACTATTATTAAATGTATAAATTAATTAATAATTAAATATTGATTTGTATTATTATTAGAATAAGGAATATTAATACTATAAATTTTTTTATGAATTTTATCTAGTTATCTAGCAAGTTTATCCAATGTCTTATTGAAATAATTATATATAACTTGAAAGAAGAGAAATAAAAAATTTATTTTTCTATATTAGTGCATGGAATAAACCATCTATATAAATGTAGTCATAAAATTTAGAGAAGAGCTTAAAAACACTCTTTTTAATACACTTCTTGTTATTGAATAGAATTAACTGAAAATTATAAAAATATGAGAGAAAAATATTAAATTATGAGTAAGAAAAAGTGATATTGATATAATTTTTGTAATTTTTAATAAATTTTAATAAAAAATTAAGAGTGCTTTTAAAAAAAAGACTATGTTGTTAGCATTTCTTTTAAATTTATGCTAAAATTATAGGTGATAAATTTAGCCTAATTACAATAATTATGAAAACAAAAAAAGGCACAAATCTAATTAAATTTTCTACAGCATGTTAAGCACATGTTTAAAAGGTAAATAAACATGTTACAACACTTTCTCCCAAGATAGTGAATGGATATCTATAATTCTCACCTTTTAGCAAGATTTCAAAACTGCTCTGTGGGTAGCTTTTTCGTTAGAATAATTTCTAATTTTCCTTCAAAAGGAACATATGTTGTTTTTATAAGGAGACTATCTAATTTCTCTTTATTAAAGTATTGGTCTATTTCTTTCTATCAAGTTGACTTTCATTATAAGAAATGATAATGGTAGATTTATTATCATAAAGTTGTTTCATTACAACTTTATACTATATTCTAAGATTATAAAATACAATCTTTTTCGATAATAACTCATAGACTCCTTGTCCCATGAATTAGAATCTTTCCTCCACACTTGCTTGTTGGTGTTAATTTGTTAGCATCATTTGTAAGACAAATGAAATAACTTAACTTAAAAGTGCACTAACCGTTTTAAATGAGTATAGAAAAGTTATTGTTTTCACGAGGATTAGGTCAATTAGTCAATAATACTTCTTAAAATCTCTAATTAAATACTAAAAAATTATACATAAAAAATAGTATATGAATTTTTTTTTTTGAAGAATTTCATGCAAAATTGATATGATGAGTACAAATGCATGAATGCAACACAATACGAAATACATATAGAACAAACACAAAATAAAATAGCACAAAAACATGCATAAGATTTTTTTTTTTTTCTAGATTTCACTTCATGCAGATTAGATTTCCATTCTGAAATTCACAAAAACATTGCATGACCTTGAATTATATTGATCATACTAAAATCTTAACCTCCATGTCTAGGTAACCATAACTACAATGAAACTCATTTCAATTTTTAGCATAACGCCAATGTGCCCATTGTGAATTACATTCTTTGTCATCCAAAAGGAAGCATCAATTTTAGAAATGAATTATAAAAGTTCTCCTGTGATATCCAAATATAAAGAACATGCTTAACTCAATTCTTTAGTCATATTTGCATGGTCCAATTCACTAGTGTAGTAAAATTAGATGTCTTTATGTTCTATCATAATTCCTAGTTAGAAAAAGTAGATGTCTTTGTATTCTTTAACTAAGAAAAGTATTTGCGGCAAGATATGTTAACAACCACAACCATAATGAAATTCATCCCTATGTCTAGGTAATGAAGACATTATTCCAAACTTGAACATAAAACCTAGCAGATGGGTAGATAGAGGACCACATTCCATTAAGGGCATAAACACCTATAGTCCAATCCTCACCAAAAGAATATAAGATTGTCCAAAAGTTTAAGACTCAACAACATGCTCTAATATGCAAGGAGAAGGACTTCTGCTACTCAAGTAAAAGGTCCTTGCTTTCAAATAAGCATACCTTCAACTCTAGAACCCCACCTATATTCATATGCTAGAGAGGAACCCATAGTTACACCTGTTACTATTGTAGCATTTGTAGAAACACCACCATCAACCACTGCAAGGAAACAAATCCCTTAGTAAAGTGTGCAGATAAAGGATCATATCTCATTATAGATGCAAACACCCATAGTCCAATCCTCAATAAAAGAATATAAGATTGTCCAAAGATTTAAGACTCAACATGTCAATCGCTTTGCATAGAATAACTAAAGGAAAATGATTTCTTAAAGGGATATTTGTATTAAAGAAGGGAAAATATCAATAACCTTTTACAAATAGAGTCTAGAAAGTGAGAATTTTTTTATGCCCTAGGAAGAAAAGGCCTTAGATTAGTTACCTATGAATTTTATGCTAATGCTAGACAATTCATCTATGATAATCCAATTTTAAGGTCTTTTGTCAGGGTGAAGTAAATTCCTTGGATAGCAACATTATTAACCATGTTTTACAAAAATTTTCAATGTAGAACCTGCCATGCTTGGTTTTCATAGGAGCCATCATAGAATAAATGCTAAAGAAATCATTAACATATTATGTAGACTAAGTGCGTGGCGGATCACATATGCTTCTCAAAAACCAAAAGAGCTAGTAATAAGTGATTTAAAGCCAATAACAAAAGCTTGGAGTAGGCTGATAAGTCTATATTTTGGCCCGCTTTTATAGCCTATATATTTATGTTTGACCTTTATTTTATTTAGGTTATACATTATTTTATATATATAGATATATATATATATATATATGTATATATATATATATGCTTCGCAACAATCAGCATGCATAGACCTTAGAAGCAAGGGTGCGAATGCTTTGAGCCCATAAGTACTGTCGTGCTCACCTACATTAATCACACTATGAAGCAATTCTAGGGTTTTCAAACCCTATTAAAAGGAACCTCGGAGGCATCCTAAAAGACACCTTGTCCTAGAACTTTGATGCACCTTTCATCTCATTCTTCTCACATCCTTTGATCTTTGGCATATTCTTGGCAGAGTTTAGAGTTTCAAGTGATCGTACTTAAAGATTGAGAACTCATCTCATCCCTAATACTTAGAGACATTCTAGTTTGCTATTTCTTTTTAACTATGGCTTTATTTATGATTTTTTAGTTCTTTTCTTTAGCATAAGTAACTAAGTCCATAGTTAGTGTTATGAGAATTATATTCATGAGTTTATGGGATTTTGATATTTGAGTCTAAGTTTGGTTTCTGTCTGTGATTAATGTTTATCCTATTGCGCATAATTGTATATTGTGAACTAACCACTCGTAACATAACCCTAGTTAATTATATCATCAGATTATCGTACTTTGATTAGTTAATGGATCTATAGGATAAAACGAGACAAAGGATTAGGTGAACCAAACTAATCTTTCTCTTTCAATCATTATTAAATTAACAAATTCATAGGTGCTTTATGATTTCTTGAATTAATATCTTGCATCACCATTGTAGATATTAGTTTAGAGGAAAGAATGTTAATATTCAATGACCATTCAGTATTGATAGTATTTGTATGACTAATTGGTAATCACAAGAAAATTGGATTTAGATTTAAACAAAAAAATAACATAAAAGATTGAATGAGAAAACTCATATGCCCTAAGTTCCTCTACTATAAGTTCAACCAAAATGCACATTGTGTTACTTGCTCTTATTCATAATTGATTTTATAATTGAATTCTTATTTTCATTTAATTTTGCATCCTTTTAGACTTAAGCAATTGAATTAGGAAATTCTTAGTATTTGGAACCAATCCTTGTAAGATGATAATTTCGGGAACTTATTTTAACCCTATATTACTTTTCGACAGTACATTTGCCCATTGAATAAGTTTTTTGTGTCATTGCTGGGGATTATTTTTCCAATATTAAGAAAATCTAATATTTAATCGATTTGAGCAATTCTTATTTTATTTTAATTATTTGTTTTATTTGTTTTAATTTGAAATTTGTTTTATCTATTTTCATTTTTATTTTATTTTTGTTTTATTTTATTTTGATTAATTTATAAAAAAAATTCTCTAGTATATGCTAATTGGTTCTAAGTCTTCTACAACTTACTTATTTGATCCATAAATCGAAAGAACTGTGTGAAAGTAAAGAAAGGAGTTGAGACAACAAAGGATGGCAGAGGGGAGAAATGCCATGTAACTTCACCACTCTTCTAATGAATGCATCCGCAACATCTTTTGCTGAAAATTGATGAGCAAAGGTGATTGAATGAGCTTATTTACTCAACCTATCTACTACCACAAAGATCGTATCCTTTCCACTCAATTTTGGAAATCCTTCAATGAAATCCATAGAGATGTTAGTTTACACTAATTTGGTATAGGCAAGGGTGCTAGAAGGCCAACAGGTACACGATTGTCATCCTTGTTGCGTTAACAAATATCATAATGATGAACAAATTGACAAACATTAACTTTCATGCCTAACCAAGTGAAGGATTGTGAAAGTCACTTATATGTCCTTTGGATTCCTGAATGTCCTGCTGGAGGTGAACAATGGAACTTTTGAAAGAGTTTCTTATGCAACTATTATTTCTTTGGTACAATAATTTTTCCATCAAGTCATACGTTGATACCCCTCATCTAAATGTGTATTCTCTTGTACCTTCTTTATTATGGTAGCCAATGTTGGATCAGTAGTAGTAGCCTAGGTTACTTCTTCCCACAAGACCTAAACTAGTTGGGATATAGCCACCAACTCTACCATCGTTTTGTCATTTTTTTTGTCACTTGTATGAATCAAGATAATGCATTAGCTGCATTGTTTGCTCTTTCTAGTTTTATAGCTAATTTTATAATCAAACCCAATCAATTTGGTTAACCATTTTTGTTGCTTAAGAGTTGTAATCCTTTGCTTTAAAAGGTGCCAAAGACTTTTTTGGTCTGTGTAAATTTGAAACTTGCGTCCTAAAAGATATTGTCTTAATGTCTTTAAAGATGCTAAGATTGTAAGCATTTCTTTTTCATATGTGGACCATGCCTTCTTTTTCTCACTGGTTGCCTTGCTTAATATGATATTAGACGCTTGTTTTGAGATAACACAACTTCAATTCCATGCCAAAAGCATCAGTCTCAATTACAAAATCTTTAGAAAAATTTGGTAATGCCAAGACCAGTGTTGATGTCATGGCTATTTTTAGGGCACTAAAAAGCTCGTTCTACATCTCACTCTACCTAAAACCTCTTTTTTTTAATAATTGGGTGAAAGATTTATGGTTTCTTCATATTCTTGCACAAACTTATGATAACACCCGTTCAAGCCTAAAAATCATCTAAGGGATGTTATAGTTGTTGGTGTTGACCAATTTGTCGTAGCTTCAATTTTTTTTTATCTGCATGTACTCCTTCCTTTGAAATAAAATGACTAAGATATTCTACCTCTATTTTTCCAAAGAGTCATTGGACAGTTTAAGATAGAACATCTGCAAATTGGCACTAAGGTGTTCCAAGTGTTCTTCCCATGTGGTGTTATAGACCAAGATGCCATCAAAGAAAACTAAGATGAACTTTCAAAGATGTAGTTGAAAGATATTATTCACTGTAGCTTGGAAAGTAGATGAGCATGATGTCACAAAATTTAGAGAACACTAACTAGCAAGTGTACTAGATAGTTGTAGCAAGTAATAAAATTTGGAATTCAATTTGAGTCCCAAGTATTGTCTTTAGGGATTAATTCTATCATTACCACTTTACAAATTAATAACTAGTTGAGCTAAACAAATTTGGAGAGATTTTGAATCATTTAACAAATAAAATTAATAAAATGTAGAAATCAAAAAATTACAGCAAAATAGGGTGACGACTTTGGTAATGGAATGATATGTAAATGAAGTTGAGATTGATTTCACCTCTTTATCAATTGCAAAACTAAAGTAGATCTGAACTCTAAGTTCCTTAATTGATTGATGATCAACTTCAGTAGATTAATCAAAGGATAATTTTTTGCCTCATTAATCCTAATATCAAACTAAACTACCCTAATTCCTTAGGTGTAATTCAATCAAACATTGCATTAGGCATTAGAAATTAAGAGATCACAAGATCACGAATTCTTATCGCTAAGATATCCATAACCTTGACATTTAACTTAACTTCCATTGATGAAAATCCTCTAGGTTCAATTCAATTGAATAGCTAATTCAAGAATTGCATTAAGTAAAGAATTAAACGTTCAATACAATCAAGATCTTAAAATCCAAATCCACAATCAATTTACAATATCAAAATCGGATTCATCAATCCTTAAACAAAAGAAATCAGAACATGTTCCTAAAAGAAAAAAAGAAAGAAAGAGTGGAAGAAGGAGTTACTAAATTTCTTCATAAATCCAATCCCTAGCTTGATTCCTCAGGGTCAGTCATCCTCAGTCTCTTTTTCTAACTCTCCTAAGGTGTAGAAATGAAAAAATGAGAAAAGATCCAAAAGATCTAAGTTTCTGCCTTTTTATAATTTTCCCGCCTTCTTCCATGTTAACACCTTAATCACTAAGAGTTGTAATATGGAAGGCCTTCCAAAAGCTTCTAAGGCTGAAGTAAGAACTCTAAACGTCCAAAGTTAACACTTAAAAGTGGTTTTCCAAATTCTATTATTACACGTAGACACTTTCAGTAGCAAGAGTTACTACATGCATATGTTCTGTGTGAATTTGTCTTACGCGTAGCTACTTTCAATAGCTAGAGTGGTTATGCGCAACTGTGCATTGGTACTTTCACTTTCCAGAGTTATTACGCACAAGTCTGTTATGTGTTTTAACCTTGCGCGTAGCTACTTTCAGCTCTAAGAGTTGCTACGCGCAGGCTTTCTGTGTGAATTAGCCTTGGGAGTTAATACTTTCACTAGGTAAAGTGTTATGAATTCTATTGTTGGAGTGATAACTTTCAGCACTTAAAGTTATTACGTAATTGATCTTCATGGATTTCCTTCTTCAAAGTGTTAATCTATGTACCCAAAGTTGCTACACTCGGCACATATTACTTGATTCTTGATCTTTTAAGCTCAATTCATCCACTTTCTTCTATTTTCTCTTCTTCAATCCTTATTCTCAAGACTCTTAGCTTAGAATCTCCTGCAAAACTAACAAAATTACATCAAAATTCTATTAAATTCACACGATTTGAATTACTAAAGACAACAATTTACTTTATTGAACATTTATATATTTTTGTGCAATTTTCACATTTTAAATTACATTTTCTATCAAAAATAATCTAGAAAGCTACATAAAAACCTAGTAAATTTTGCATTCATCACTTGACATCCATATAGCATCACCAAATATTCATAATGATGGTAGCTGAATCACAAGTCTAACTTGCTGAAATAAGTTGCTCCAACTAATTTATCAAACATGTCATTAATGGCAAAAATTGGAAAGTAGTCTTTTATTGTTGTTGCATTGAGTGATTGATAGATTGTGCAAAATATCCATTATCAATCTTTTTTCTTGACCAAGAGTACCGGTAAGGAGAAAGGTGATAAGTCTATATTTTGACATGTTTTTATAACCTATATATTTATTTGTAGCCATTATTTTATCAAGTTTTTACACTAATTTCTTTGATTATTATGCAAATTAATATGAGAAGGCTACAGTTAGGTTTTGGGTGCATTTTGTGCCCAAATTAGATGAAAAATTGAGTTTCGCAATAGCCAGCATGCTCATTCCCCAACAGTCAGCACGGGTGTGCTTCGACCCATATGCATTATCGTGCTTATGGTCTTGCACAGCCATGTTTACTTGCGAGAAGTCCAATTATAAAGCAATTTTAGGATTTTCAAACCTATTAAAAAGACCTCAAGGGCAATAACTTAAGCATCTTTTACACATCCTTTTGATATCTCTTTACCTCACATCACTTTGTACATCTTCAATCTGGGTGTTAGCTAGTTGCTGATGACTATCAAAGCTTTGGAAGTGCGTCTTAGGATCAAGAGCTCTCTTCTCCATTGGAGACTCTTTTAGTTGGCATTTACTTTTCAAATAACTATGAATTTTTTTAGTATTGTTTTAGTTTTCTTTTATATCATGTCTAGCTAAATCCATAGTTAGGGCTATGGTGGATTCTTTGCATGACTCTATAGGATTTTTATGATTTATAATAATTTTATGTTTCCGTTCTTTATTGGTGTTTATCCTATTACGCTATATTTGTATGTCAGAATTCACAACTCTTAAATATACCATTATTAATTATATTGTAAACAATCACACTATATATAGTTAATAGACCCATTAGGTAAAACAAGATAAAGGATTAGGTGGGTCCAGCTTAGTTCTTCTCTTTCAATCATTATTAAATTAACAGTTCATTGGCTCTTTATGTTTTCTCTTCCTTTTACCTTGCTTGATCATTGGGGTGATAATTTGGAGAAAATACTGTTAACATTGTATGATCATTTGGTATTAATAGATTTAGTATGAGTGATTGACAATCATAAAGAAACCAAAATTGGAATTAATCTAAAAGTGAACATAGAGAAGTGTAAAGGTGAAACCATACACCCTAAGTTCTTCTTGATTAAGTTTATTGTTAGAGGTTGTGCTATTTTAATTTTTTCAATTAAATTTTATATTTAAATCATTGTTTTATTTACTTTCACATCCTTTAAGTCCAAACAATTAAATTATTAAATTCTTAATAATTAGAAACAATTCTTGTAGACAATATTTTAAGAACTTATTTTAAAATCCTTTATCACTTTTCGACAGATACTCAACAATTCTTGTAGACAAACAGAGTGCTAGTACTTGAGAGAATTAGGTCGATACTCAACATCTCATTCACCTATTTCTTAATATCATATTTTGGAAATGAGCATAATGGTATGGCGCCACATTGATAGCCTTAAACTCATCAATTAGTTGAATTTGATGATCAAGCTCTCGCCTGGGTGGTGGTTCTTTTGGTTCTTGCATCATGTCAATAAATTCAGTCAAAAGTTTCTTTGAGATTGTCATGTTGTTCTTTTGATGGTGTAGCCACATCCTTATCCTCTTCGCACCTCATTAAACAAAACAACACTGCTTCTTGGTTCCACTCTCTAACTACCAAGTCAAGGCTTGCTACTTTAACTTTCTTCGTATTTTGTCCCTTCAAACAAAACTTCCTCCCTTCTAATTGAAAAGTCATCATAAGTCACTTATAATAAGTGGTTACTGGTCCTAAGCTCTCTAGCCAATGAATACCCAAAACAATATCTAACCTTCTTATTGGAAGAGTATAAAGTGTGACTTGAAATGTGCACCCTTGATAGTAAAGGGTACTGCTTCATATTTCTCCTTGCACTCTAGTCTCTCATCACATGCAACTTTCATCAGAAAGAGTGTTGTGTAAGTCACTGTTAGGTGAAGTCATCATGCCATTTGTGGATTTATAAAGTTCAAGTTAGACCCTAATATGAATTCAGAAGCAAAAGGAAAGAAGAGTAAAAATAGGAAAGGAATAAAAAAAAATTAGAATGAAGATGAGGTTTGAGAGAGAAAGGAAAGAAAACATGAGGAAAAGAGAATCCTTTTTTTATCATTCATAATATCTCAACAAATTGCAATCCTTACATATATAGTCTGTTAGATGTAACTAACTTGAAGAAATAAAAGAAAAACAATTTGTAAAATTACTAATGAACCACACTTTCTCTGCCTCAACTCATCTACCCCTGTGTTTGGACTTGGGATCAACATAATCCTTCATCCAGTTTGACTTCATCCTATTCCTTTTAGGCTTCCCTTGATCCAGCTTCTCCAAGTATTGGTCCTCAACATTAGCAACATGATCCAATTCCACCAAAGCCTCTTTCTACTCTTCTACTATTTCTTGGCTTGTATCATCCCCCTTTTGTTGGACAAACACCTTGTCCTCAAGGTGTATATCAGGAAATTCATGCAACAAGTCTTCCAACAATTCCCAGCTAGCATCCTCCGAAAAATAAACTTATAGGGATGGTCCCCTTCCATTTTAGAATCAAGGATAGCTAAGGGAAGTATTTTAGGTTGATTCTCTACAACAATTAGAGGTAGTGGCAGTTCTTTAAGCTCTCCATCACCATGGAAAGGTTTCAGCTTCGAGACATGAAAGACAGGGTGAATTTGTGACCCTTCAAGAAGTTCTAAATGAAAAGTTACCTCATTGATTTCCTTGATAATGCAATAAGGCCCATAATACCTCTTGGATAACTTCTGCTTCCTGCATCTTGAAACAAAAACCTGGTAATAAGGCCGTAGCTTGACCAACACCAGATCACCCACTCAAAATGGATGAGGTTGTCGTTGTGAATCTGCATAAATCCCCATATGCTCTTGTGCCTTGAGTATATTTGACTTCAGCTTTCCTAAGACCTGTTCTTGAGTCATTAACTCATTGTTCACAGCCTTTAAGATGCTTGTCCCAACAATATACTGAGGCAAGGATAGTGGTGGCTTTCCATATACAGCTTGATAGGGAGTCATACTAGCCGGCGTTTGATAAGTAAAGTTGTAGTGTCATTCAGCTCAATGCAAAAGTTGCCCTCATTGAGATGGTTATTGATGCACAAAGGCCTTTAGATACTACTGCAGAACTTGATTTATAACCTTTGTTGTCCATCACCTTGAGGGTGATACGCCGTTGTCATTCATAGCTTGGTACCACTTAGTTTGTATAACTCTTGCCAAAAGTGACACATAAAAATGGGATCTTGATTAGTGAGTATGCTCTTGGGCATACCATAAAGTTTACACACCATAACAACAAATAGATGAGCAACCTGAGCTATAGTAAAAGAGGCTTGCAAGGTCCTAAAGTGAGCTTCCTTTAACAAGTGATCCACAACAACTAATATGATGGAATAGTTTTGGAATGAAGAGAGTCCTACAATAAAGTTTGTAGAAACATCTTCCCAAATTCTGGAAGGTATTGGCAATGGTTGTATTAAGCCATAAGGGCTGTGTTTTGGAGTTTTAATTTGTTGGCAGGTTAAACACTTATTTACATAATCAGTTACATCAGCTTTAAATCCCTTCCAATGAAAATTCTCTTATAATTGCCCCATCATTTTTAAAATTCTAGCATGTCCTCCAATGGCCGTGGCATGATACTCTTCAAGCAACAAATTTTTGATTTGTGATTAAGAGGGAAGGTGAATCCTACCTCAATAAAACAACACACCATCAACAATGCAGTAGTGAGGATATTCCCTTGGACTTGCCTTCACTACTTCTAATAATTGTTGAAATTCCTCATTGTCGTGATATAGCTCCTGTATTTGCTTGAAAACCTCATAATGTGGAACAGTAATTCCCCAGTACTATCCTTCAACCTTAGAAATACGTGACAACGCTTCAGATACTCAATTTGATGCCCCCGACTTGTACCTAATCTCATAATTGTAGCTAATCAATTTGGATAAATAATACTATTGTTCTAGGGTTTGTATTATTTGCATCATTAATTCCCTCAAGCTTCTCTGATCAGTATAAATGTAAAACTTGTGCCCCAAGAGGTATGTTCGCCACTTTTTGACTGCCTCAGTGATAGCGTACAGTTCCCTCACATAAGTTGATAAATTAAGCCACTTTGGACAAAATTTCTTGCTGAAAAAACTGATTGGGTGCCCTTCCTATTGTCACACTCCACCCATTCCCAATCCAGATGCATCCATTTCCACAATAAATTCCTTCTAAAAATTAGGCAACCTTAGAATAGGAGTTGTTATCATGGCTTGTTTCAGCTGGTCAAAGGCTTGCAGTGCAAAGTCACTCCACTTGAAGGCTTCCTTCCTTAACAATTCAGTTAAAGGAAATGCTATTGAAGCATACCTGCAAATAAATTTCCTATAGAAGCCTGTTAATCCCAAGAATCCCCTAAGTTGTTTAACATTGCTTGGACGTGGCCACTCTAACATTACCTTCAATTTCTCTATATCAACTTGAACACCATCTCTGGAAACTATGTGCCCCAAATAATCGATTAAAGCTTGAGCAAAAATGCATTTAGACTCTTTAAGAAAAAATTGATGGCTTAGTAAGCACTCAATTACGATTTATAAGTGTTGCAAATGTTCCTCTAACAATTTACTATATATAAGTGTATCATCAAAGAATACGATTATAAATTGTCATAGGTACGGTTGAAGAAGCTCATTTATGGTGGCCTAAAACATTGGCGGTGCGTTGTAAAGACTAAATGACATCACGAGGAACTCATAGTGGCCTTCGTGAGTTCAGAAAGTCGTTTTATTCACCTCCTTAGCCTTTATGTGTATCTGGTGATACCCAGAGTGCAGATCCAACTTGCTAAACAAACTTGTGCCGTGTAGCTCATCGAGTAATTCATCAGTTGATAGAATGAGAAAGCGATATTTGCTAGTTATGGCATTTTGGGCACGGTAATCTACACAAAACCGCCAACTTCTGTCTTTCTTTCACACCAAGAGCACCGAGGAAGAATATGCACTATTGCTTCACTGAATAATCCCAGACACCATCAGCTCCTTAATAAGTTTTTCCATCTCAAGCTTCTGAAAGTAAGGATAACGGTACGACCTAACACTCACTGAATTGGCATCGTGTAAGATGGGGATTCTGTGGTTCGTCAAACGACTTGGGGGAAGGCTTATAAGAGATGCGAACAGGGAGCTAAATCATTCAAGCAGCTTAGCCACTGATTTTGGGTAAGGTTGGGATTTGGATTCCGGCGAAGAAAGGAGCAAAACCTGGACATGGAAGATCTCCGCTATGGCCTTCATGGAAGCTAGCCACTCAAATTGGGTTATTATTGCTTCAATTGGTTGGGCCCATTCTTAATAAACCTTATTGTGAGTGTCGCATAATCCCTAAGTACAGGCCCTAAAGATTTCAACCAGTGAATACCAAGCACCAAATTTGTACCACTTAATGGAAGTACAAACAAGTTCACACAAAATTGATGCGAGTCAATCTTCAACCCATCCTTTGGACAAACAGTTTCACACTTCAACTCTTCACCATTTCCTACTAACATAG